TGTGATATTGATATAATACAAATGATGTAAAATTTTTTTAAATAGTCAAATATTAGTAATCATCAATCATACATAAAATAATTGTATGAATTTCATAAAAATTTCCAAGTTAATTTAAATGCAAGTATATTCTTTTATTTCAAGACAAGTTTTTTATTAATTAATAAATTTCTTGAAAAAGACAATCGCTAGACATTGTAAAACCTTTTATTTCACGATTTCGATCTAATTACAATCTCCATACTAGTATAAATTAACTCAAAAAGATTGATAATAGATTTAAAATTCTTTTCAGCTACAGAAGTTAAGAATTAAAATGAGTCATATACTCAAATTATTACCTTTAATCATGCAGTCTGTTTCTACGTAACTGACACAAATGCAGTTGTAAGAATAAATGCAAATTTAATTATTGTAGATGTAGACGTTTTAATTTGGTATGTGGTCATTCACATATTATTAAATGCGAAGATAGAGAACATATAGAAAAAATAAAAAATATAAGGTATATATATATATATCACTTTTTAATACATCAATTAATAATAATACTTTACTCACTAGGCAAACATTTGGTTTTCACTGCTAGATAATTTCTACTCTTTTCAAGCAAAAAGTATTAAGGTCTCCTGTTGGTAGATGAATAATATGATGTTTGTTTTAATACATATATTAAAAAATTATATATATAAGTCAGTAATTAAAGTAATAAAATAATACAAACAACTCTATTTTAGTGCTGCCAAGGGAAATCTTTCAATTATATTTCGTATTGAACGCAGTCTCTAACAAATAGATAAATCATGCCAATACAAATAATTAAAAGATTGAAGCCCTACTTCTTTGGCAGCACTCATATAATAACATAATGTACCTATATAGCATCGCACACAGTACCCCAAAAATAACACTTTTCTTTATTAAAACCCGGGGTACTGTATGCAATACTATATGGTACTATATTTGAAAAGTGTGCTCAATGATTTACTACGCTTCTCAGGAACCCACTGCACACTTCTATATCACACTGTAGTTCGTTATTTTTATTGTTATGAAGAGCTATTGATTACATATTCATATATAACTTACATATAAAAACGCCAAATGAAAAATATATCAGTTATAATACAAGAACAAAAAACGTTGGGCATTAGCGGAATTCCAAGGCTTATTAAGCTCTATAAAAAAAAATAAAAAAAAATTAGTCAGAATTACAGAATTATAGAGGAATTCTAAAAGTTATTAACCAACCAGAAAGATAGTTAAAGTCACGAGTGGCATAGAAAATAGACAGTTAAATGGAGTAATAGAAAATGCATGTACATATTTAAAGGCAATTTTGTGAAACATCAAAAAAAAAAAATTGAATACTCAAAAATAGTGATATGAGTTGGTAGCTACCAGTAGGCATTTATCACCAATATCTAATAATAGACATTGGTAGAACCGATAGTCAATAATAAGCAAAGGTAGACAGTAGCTAAAATATGTTAGCCTTTAAAATATCATAAATGTTATTATTAGATCTAATCATGTGTCCAGCACTACCGGTAGCTATAGGTAGAAAACTGGGTTGTTAAGAAAATTCACATCAACTCAAGAAGATAAAATGCTGCAAAGTTTTTTTGCAAGAAACTTATGTTCCTTTTTACCAATATATCAACTAAGAATTAAGTGTTCACTGCGCATAATATTAGATTAATATAAGTAAAAAATTGTTATGCCCTAATGAATAATGAAAAATCATTACCCGAGTTCATTAAATAAACAAATTCATAGGTGTTTGTTGCTTATACTGAATTTGAATTTATCAATAATTTATCTTCATAATTTTTTATCATATAGAAAGTTTCTCTTTAATATCTATAGTAAAAAAAGCTTTTTCTCAAAAGATTAATTAATAATGGTGTATTGCTATATATTGTTATTACCGTAGTATTGACCAAAGTACCTCTTTTTTTTGTACCCAGAGTTAAACTAGGTAATACCCAGGTTTGCATGGCATTTTCATATGATCATATATTAATTTCTGAATTACATATATAAAACTATACAAAGTACTCCATACAATATATCTGTCATCAAATAGAATACTTTGTAAGTTTTTTAGTGAGTGTTTTGTATTAGACCCAGGTTTTTTAGTTAGTACACAACAGTATAGTTCTTATATACATAATTAATTTATTTGTTTAGAATTTACTTGACTGAACTTTTTGTGACCAAAGTTTTTAAAAATCTGTCTTGCAATATTTCAACACATATATATTGTTCTTTAAATCGTCAATAGATAGTATGCAATTCCTGAAATATATAACCTTCAGATTATGCATCTAATTATCTTAAAAAGTTACTACATTTCATTTTTGAAGTTATAATTACCTTAGATAAAATATTGCTTTATTTCTAAATTTTAGATACTGTAATATCTAAGTTTTAAAAAAGGAAAAAATGGGTCAATTGCTATTTATATAGTGAATGATTTATCACATGATTTAATTGTGTAGCATTTTTTTTTGTACAACTAAAACATATAGTTGTTTATTAGATATTCATTTATTTTACCAAATCTTGGAACTACATGAACAGTTTTATCTATACTTTCTACTAGTATACAACTATAATAATCAATCAATTCTACTTTAAAGCATCCTCATACTTTTTCTTCAAATGTATCATACCAATGAATTAGAACAAGGCTATACAGTTCTTTTATTCCGTGTCTGTAATACTTGAAAAGTAATAAAACCTTATTTTATATCAATTTTAATTAATTAGATAAGTTTGTCTTATTTACAGTAATATACTTAACAATACATTAGAATTTATTATTACCTGACCATACCAAATTACTTCGCTTTCTTCTTCTGTACCACTTACTGACATGTTTAAAAAATTGGTTCTTCATAAAAACTTTTTGTAGCATGTATAATGTTTGTGCTTTCAACAGAAACTGAGAAATATACCTCAATTAGATCATTACTTAAAAAAATTGATTCTGCTTCAAAATATTTCTCAAAATATTCATCAAGACCATTTAATAAATTTTGGAGTCCTTCGATTTGAAGCTGATGTAATTTTCTACGATTATTTTCAATGAAGTCATCTATATCTATTAAGTAAAATTCCCATAAAAGATTTTTATATCCTTCTGCTTTTCGATATTTACTAGTTATATCTTTCTCTGTTAATTTTTGTTGTTTAACCTAAAATACAATATTATTGTTAACTCTTAAGGCAATCGATTAATTTAGTAAATAATTATCATTTTAATAATCTGCTTCATAAAATTTTTTCTATTGGTTATATGATAAGGATTCTTTACATAATACTTATATAAAGTTTCATAAGTTTCTGTTGAAAGACTATTTATTGCGCCATATTCCTTTATTACAGGCACTATATGATAGCACCACGTATGGAGTTTTGGTAGTCGCATATCACTTGGAGAATAGGAAGCAAAAATATCAACAAAATCTTTGGCCCAACTCATAATGAGTTTCTAAATAAAGTGGTAACAAGTGTTTAAAATGCATAGTATATAAGCTTTAATAATGTTTATCATATCTGAAGTTTAGAACAAGATTCAATTGTAAAGGAGTCTTCACGAGTAGCCAGGTACATTTTGAGAAACTTGTAAAATACTTCACATAAACTTTTATTACTAATTCCTGGCTTTTTGTATATGCTATAAAGGTTATCAAGAACAAAAATAATAACCTTCATGATATTTCGCATGTCATCAGCAGTCATACGTGCCATATCATATCCATGTTTCATTACTTTGAGTCCGTGAAATCTAGGAATCTCTGCCAAGCATTGTTCAAAGGTTTGGATAATGTTGTTTCCACATTGATCTGCTAAAAGTTCTTTTGTATATTTTAGCATGTATTTAAACAAGCCAAGATCTAATGCATGCATTCGATCTAGCACTGTTGCTTGATAAATATTGAAATCGCTAATTAATTAAAAATATCGTTAGTTATACTATATATTTTAAAATTAATACTAAAATTTCAATTATACATTACTTTATTTGCCAGAATATATTTGGTTCATCATGAATTGAATTTTTGTGAGCCTGACCAGTATTAATCACCTGTATCATATTCTGATGATTTCTTAGTAAACTTCTTATATTTTTTATATTCAGATCATTCAAACTATCATTCAATATCAAGCAAGTATTATATGGTTTTTGTGTTGAATATGACCGATAAATATTCGTAATCATATTGGCCTCAACCATATCAGCTAAGATTACCGAAATTCATGGAATAAATATTATTATGTTTTGTTAAACTACGAAATGAAGCTTCGGTCTATCAATTATAGGCTTTAAAAGAATTGATAAGCATCTCTGAAAAACAGTTCTTTGCAATATTCTAAAACTTTCGGAATTTTTGGTTTTTGTATCTTTTGCTTTTATTATTAGTAAATATCCAACTAATGCCTTTGATTCTGGCTTATTTTTCTGAAAGTTGGAAATATTGCCAAGAGATAAAAATACTAGGTGTCCAGAAGATTTTTCCATATAATCCAAGGTTATAGTATTAGAGTAGAGAATTATCGAAAGCAATCACTCGCCAATTAATAGTTTTAATTCTTCTCACCGCCACCAATCACAATTATATTGTTCTTCAAATATTCGAGATTTTATACCATCTCTTGTTTTACTTTTTTCAGTATATTTTAATACCAGATTTTGATTAATATTATCAACTGCTAATAATGATTTAATAGCCTGAATTATTGGCCAATAATAGAGCGTATATTTGACACTTTGGAAGGTTGTGACTAAAGTTTCTTTAAATGTTGTATATTGAATTTTTGTGTTATTCAAAAATTCTTTTTCAACACGTATTGATGAAGGCAATGGTGATTTTTTCAAATTAGAAAATTTTTTAAAAAAACATATAAAAGCATTGGCAGCGTTATCTGAAAGCTGATATTTAGTAGTAATCTCCATAAATTCTCTATAAGCATCACTGGGCTATTGTACTTTATCTGGATAGTGCAAGTCTTTGTAAGCATCTCCAAGTGACGCTCCTTTATAATCTTCATCATCAATTGGCACATTCTCAAATTTTAACTCATTACTTTCAATAGGTTGAGGATAGGATAAAGGAAATGAGGTTTGTTCGGAATAATCCAAAATGTTTCCTGATGAATATTTGTAAGCTTTGCTTACTATTGATTGTAATTGATTCGAAGAAAATTCTAGATCAGAAAAATCTAGATCCATTGTTTGTGATATTTCTCGGTTCTAAATTTAAAAACATAGTTAAAATTCCTGTTGATATTTCACATTTTAAAACTTTAATGTTATTTACCAATAGATCATTATCAGGTTCTTCCGGGAGATTCCAAATAGTATCGAGAGTATACAATTGTTGAGAAGTTGATTCTAATTTGGATGTATTGTTAGGATTAGTGATGCCACCAAAATTGATTTTCAAAAAAGGCCTATTTCGTCTCCATTAGAGCAAATTAAAATTTTTTATAAGAAAGAGCAAATAAAATTTATATATTTATACTCCTTATAATTTCGTCTATTTAAAAAAAGTATTAAAAAATTTTGTCTTTTAAGTAAAATAGGTCAAAAATAATTTCGTCTTCAAATTTTAATTTCAGGTTTTTGAACCTGAAATAATTTCGTCGGCATGTATAGTTAGGATATTTTGGCAATTTCCAAATATCATCATCAAGAGTATACAGTTGTCGTGAAGTTAGTTCTGATATAGATGCATTATCAGTGTTTCTAGGATGTTTTTGTGATATGTGTTGCGACAAAGTATAAGGTTTAGAAAATTCTCTATTACAATGGTTACATTTTCAGCGCATATTGAATATATTTTATAAAAAAAAAGTGCATTTAATAAGCAAGGTTTTCTGGTATAAATTGACTGTAAGATTTATGCTCCACTGAGTTGCTTTTATAATTTTTTACTCATCATATAATGGAACCGAACAGAATGATTTTTTTTATAAAGGTTTCTTTAATTCAAATATGCTCGATATAAATAAACGAATATACAATCTTTTTTTTTACAAAGTTTTCTTTAATTCAAATATGATAGATACAAATGGAATATAACTTCTCATACAATTTTTTTTTTTTATTACAAAGATTTCTTTATTAAAATGAATATAATTCACTAATTATTTATTACAAAGAGCATGTTAGGCGGCATCCATAATTATGTTAAAAACGGTATTGTTGTAGAAATCTTAAATAATACAAAAATAATACCAATAGTATTATCGATTTCTATACAATACAGTACCAGTTTAACGTAAATTATAGATGCTGCCTTATGTCTAAACACTAGTTAAAAAGAATATAAAGAGCAACAAGCATAAACGTTACTTTAAAGGTAATTTTACATTTTATTAAATAATATTAATATTAAATTTGTTTAAAGCTATTGACATAGTCAATAAATTTATGTGTATATTGCTCAGTATGTCGATTTGTATAGCTTGCCGGACCCAAAAATGTATATGTTTCAAAGGAGGGAGGAGGGCATCATGGTAATTCAAGTAATAACTGGAATTCTAATTAATATTATTATAGAAGGACCCTTTCATGTTGACAGAATTGATCTTGTTATAAACCCGTATTGCTCTTATTACAATGACCTATATGACCTTTATGACCAGTCATAGGCCATTTGGTCATAATGAAGGTATATGACTTATGATCTTTTTTAATTTAGTAAGAATAATAGTAACCAATATGACTTATGATCAAAAAGTCTTATGATTTGACCAAGGTCATATCAAAAAATGTTATGACTTAGGTCATCGGCCCGGAATAGATTCAAAGAATAATTTAGATAACAAGAATAGTTAAAATTCCTAGAATTCCATTATATGTATAAATAATTATATAAAGGAGGAGTTTCTCTCCTGTAATAAAGACAACTCAGCGTTGGAACAACTCACGTCAAAATTCGAGTAGAAGTGTTGTCTCTAATCTTTCATAATAAATCGTTATTATCTTTTTCTTAACCCTGGTATTACTGTAAAATCCTTATTGATCGTACTATGAAGAAAAAGTAAAAGAGCCCAATTCATATTGTCTGTCCTTTTATACTGCTTACTTTGATAGCTGCTGTGATCTATTGTTTTGTCATTATCGAAATTCCCGTGATCCACGTGACGATCGTTAAGAATCTTAACGATCGAATCGAAGACTAAAGCCCTAGTACTGTATACTTGAATTTAAAGAGAGGAATTACTTTTAGCTTTCGACTTAATCGAAGAAACAATCAGTAGAAGTATAATCCGAAGTTATACTTATCCCAATATCCAGTAGAGCCGCAGCAAGACCTGAAAGACCTTGTAACTCGGACCAAGTCTTCCTCATGCCTCTTTCCATCTTTCACTTCAAGGTTTAGAAGTCTTGAAGCACTTGTATGTTAGTTTTAGAGTGTTGGGCTAGGTAGTTAGTGGTTTTAGATTTAGACCCGTTAAAGAGCCTTTTATACTGCTTACTTCTGTGATCTATTGTTTCATCATCGAAATTCCTGTGACCTACGTGATAATCGTTAAGAATCTTAATGATCGAATCGAAGATTAAAGCCCTGGTATACTTGAATTTAAAGAGAAGAATTACTTTTAGCTTCTGACTTAAGCAAAGAAACAATCAGTAGAAGTATAATCTGAAGTTATACTTATCCCAATATTCAGTAGAGCCGCAGCAAGACCCGAAAGACCTTGTAACTCAGACCAAGTCTTCCTCATGCCTCTTTTCATCTTCCACTTCAAGGTTTAGGAGTCTTGAAGCACTTGTATGTTAGTTTAGAGTGTTGGGTTGGGTAGTTAGTGGTTTTAGGTTTAGACCCATTAAAGAGCCTTTTATACTGCTTACTTTTGTGATCCATTGTTTCATCATCGAAATTCCCCATGATCCACGTGACGATCATTAAGAATCTTAATGATCGAATCGAAGACTAAAGCCCTGGTATACTTGAATTTAAAGAGAAGAATTACTTTTAGCTTCTGATTTAAGCAAAGAAACAATCAGTAGAAGTATAATCCGAAGTTATTATTACCTTGACCTTTGTAAGTTTAGCAGACTTAATAGGAAACTTTTTAGTTTTTAGACATTTTAATTATTTTTTTTTTTTATCATTCTTTTGCTTTATTTCTATACTTATCCCAATATCCAGTAGAGCTGCAGCAAGATCCGAAAGACCTTGTAACTCGGACCAAGTCTTCCCCCATGCCTCTTTCCATCTTCCACTTCAAGGTTTAGGAGTCTTGAAGCACTTGTATATTAGTTTAGAGTGTTGGGTTGGGTAGTTAGTGGTTTTAGGTTTAGACCCATTAAAGAGCCTTTTATACTGCTTACTTCTGTGATCCATTGTTTCATCATCGAAATTCCTGTGACCCACGTGATGATCATTAAGAATCTTAACAATCGAATCGAAGACTAAAGCCCTAGTATACTTGAATTTAAAGAGAAGAATTACTTTTAGCTTCCGACTTAAGCAAAGAAACAATCGGTAGAAGTATAATCCGAAGTTATATTTATCCCAATCTCCAGTAGAGCCGCAACAAGACCCAAAAGACCTTATAACTTCTACTTCAAGGTTTAGGAGTCTTGAAGCACTTGTATGTTAGTTTTAGAGTGTCGGGTTGGGTAGTTAGGTTTAGACCCGTTAACCCGCCCCTTACAACGTATAACCTTTATAAAAGACCTAACCTCCACTTCACTTTGAAAAGATGAACTCAGTTCATTCACATTTTAATGATTGAATGATTGAATGAAAACATTATTCTACAATATAAATATGAAGAATTTTGTGAATTTTGTGAAATTTCTTTGCCTACTTATTATATTTATTACAGTTTGCTAATTTGTTCTTGATCCACAATATGAACAAGCTAACACCTTAGTAAATACCAAATTTTATTATTTTTTTTTGGTGATACTAAAAAACCAAATTATACAAATAAAGTCATATAATTTGATTTATCTACACCATTGAACACGACCAGGCCTAGTGATGTGCCGCGTACAGTACTATACGTACAGTACTGTACGTACTGTACGTACTGTACGCTAAAATTTTTGCCGATCACTTTTGCCAGCCAATCAGATGCCAGAAAAGAACTATACGTACAGTACGTACTGTACGTACTGTACGCTAAAATTTTTCAGGTATCATATAAATGGCACATCACTAACCAGGCCTCTATGACTAATTATAGTCCATATATTAATCAAATGAATATGATTGATACCAAAACACTAACTAAATATTATTAGATTTTAATTAAAAGCGTTTGTAAAATAAAACTAGGAAATTGAAATTGTCGAAATGAATTTTAGCACTTAATTTCAACTATATAGTAGATATAATTTACTAACAATATTAGATAATAATTGGGACAAAGAACATGCAGGAATAGTAGCTCCTACAATTGTATCTTGTCCGAAATAGGTCTGAAAAAAGTGGTCAATTCAAGATTAGCTTTTAACAGTCCTAACCATCATGTGGTAATAGATGTGACAAAGTGGGACTATTGCTTGTAATCGTTAACACATTATCACTGTTTTCAATAATTGAATTTTGTGAATCTTATGAAACCCACATTTTTATTATTGTGAAAACAACAACAATATGCGGGATGGAATTCATAGAATTCACAAATAATAGCACTAAATCAAAAAAATGATACAGTAAATAGTTATATTTTAATTGAAAAATCTTTTATAAAAATCGATTTCTCGTCAAGTCATTTTATAAAAAACGTAAGTTATTATTTAAGTCTTATAATTTTTAATATGTTAATTACATTCGATGTTATAGTATTAGAGTACATGTTTTAAGAAATTCTTAAATTTCTAATTAATTTTAGCAAAACCTTTCCTTCACGCAACCCTAGTCAAGTTTCCTATTTGCGGATATGTTAGAAGACCTAGATTTAACATATAACTAATCAAGATTTTTTTTAAAAAAAATGAGTAATCAAGATAGTGGTAAGAAAAATTGTTATTAATTGGCTATCGTGTTTAATTTCATTTATAATTACAAAGGTATACTTGTCTTTTTTAAGATGAGGATTTGTTAGTTTTGCCCTCCAGACAACTTCATAGCAAGTCCCATTCAGATTCCTATGAATGAAATGAAGATGATAGTGATTCTGGCAATTATTCATCAAATAAACCAAAAAAAATCTAGAATGTACAAATCCTGCTCCAATTCTCCCAAAAATCATCATAAGTCCCATTCCTCCAAGAAACTTCGTCATTCTAATTCTTCCCAACAAAAGGAATATGTTAGTGGTTCTAGTAATGATTCTCAACAAGAAGATTATGATAGTAGTTCTCGTAAAAAAAAGCAGAATAAGTATTCTTCCTCACAACAAAGCAGTAACAAGCATTATAGGTCTCTCTCCCTACAACAAAGTGATAAAAGTGATAACAAGCGTCATAGATCTTCCTCTCAAAAAAAAAGGGATAATAAGCATCGTAGGTCTCCTTCCCTACAACAAAATAACAATCATCGGAATCTCTTTCCCCACAACAAAGAAATATCAGGCCTCCAAAGCAACAACAGATTAATAAATCCCTCCTATCCCAAACAGCATCTCAAGCGTCATCACATGCAGGTATGAATCACTGAGCATTGTAAATTTTTTTATATCAATATTAATTGAATTTTTTATAGATCCAAAACAACAATCCCTCACGTCCCAAATAACATCTCAAACGTCATCACAACCACTAAGCATTGTTGAATTTTTTCATACCGATATTAATTGAATTTTTTTAATAGAATACCGTCGTAAAGTCGATAAGTTATTATTTAAACATCATCAACAATTATACTTGATGCTAAAAAAGCATGAAGATGATCTAATGAAGATAAACAATGAGATTAAAAAGCTACAAGTTGAACAAACAAATGAGCTCTCATCTCAAGTACTAGATGTGAGTATTTTTCTTGATGATTAAAAATAGGTATTTGGCTTACGTCAATTTGATTTTAATAGTCTATTTTTGGAGGGTTGTAAAACGTCTCTTTCTACGAATTCTTTATCCAACACAAGATATTTTTTAAAAACATGCATGGAAGAAAAATATTATGATACGTTGGCTAATCTCAGTTCCAATCAATTTCTTAACCGTTTTCACAGAGAATGGCTTAGTCTGGTATATATTATTATCAGAAAGTGTCATTATATATATATGAATAAAAGTTATATCACGGCGAATTTATGAAATTATTAAGCTAAAATTTGGACACAAATCAAGCATTTGATCCCCAAATTTAAATTCGTCTAACCCATCTTACCCACAAGCTACCTTATTAGTAGTCAAATTTTTAAAATTTTAGATATTTCATAAATTCGCCACAATGAATATTTATTCAATCTTGATATCAATTTTAAATCGGAGGTCATGCAAGATTAATTACTTGATTTTCATAACCCGGCCAGGTAAAATTTTTGAAACCTAAAAATTTTACATATAAAATTTATAAAAAAAGCCAGTCAGCCAGATTTTAAAGCTTTATGTTATGAAAATTAAGAAATTAAAGTTGTATGACCTTATTTATATACTGTAAATGGCTGGGTATGTTACATTTCACCAGTTAAAAAACTTAAATTATACATACCCAGGGTATATTGTCAGGCCATTTACGGTAATTATGTAAATTTCAATTCTTCTAAATTTCCTATTTTATCAATAGCTATTATTAAAAATGAAAAATGTTTGGGCCACAGCACTGTCAAACGTTCGAAAGGCAATTTTCCGTGTGTTTGGTGCGGAAAAATTGCCATTTTAAAAAAATAATGCTTCAGCTACTGATATTGTTGTATGAAAGAAAAATAAAAAAGTTATTGAATGTTTTAATATGCTCTTTGAACATGATGACAATGGAATATACTGGGTCTCGGTAATTGCACGTTATGCATTTACTGAGACATCAGTCCCTACTCTAACCAATACGCATTATGCTTTTACTTTAGCTGTTTGTGACATTTTTCTTAACCCCGCTTTAAAAGGAATTAAATACTCTGAAGACAAAATGAAACGAAGAATGGAAAAATATATTGTAAGTACTAAAGTAATTATTTAAATTTTATATACTTATTATGCTCATTAGGATGTTTTTTAGTGTGACTTTGAACAGGATGGTGCCCCGTCTAAAGAATCTGTAGGAATTATTGTTGCAAAAGAAACAGCAGTTACCAGTGAAGATGAAAATGCAGAAGATGAAACCACAAGTGAAACTTGAGAGCAAACAGACACACAAAATATAATGAATTCAAGAGAAGCTAATGATGAGCTTTTTGGTGTTTAATTAAAAAACAGTAGCGTCACTGCTGTAAAATTTTATAATCAAAGATAGCAGTTATAGGATTTCCTGGCCTCCTAAATTTTATTGGATCTGACATATCCCTGCTATTTATTATTATACAGTTAACTTTAAGTATAACGAACCCTTATATATCGATCTTTATAATGAAATTTTTTTTTAAAAAAAAATTTTTTTAATGTTCAAACTAATCTGATCTAATCAAAATTTTTTATCATTTATACACAATCTTAATAAAATTAGTCAATAGAAATATGATACGTATATATACTTTATATGACAATATATACTATTGAAGCTACTACCAGTGTATAAATTTGATTTCAATTCTTTTGAGCAATAAAAAATTTTTAGTTCTGGGGTTTAATTTTGTAGTACTCATATAAAAGCTATTTTTATTTCTTCAAAGCCATTATCATTACGTTGTATGTATCACAGTTTTACAGTACTGTTAAGGGAAAATTAGCCTTTGAATAACTATTCAAGCAACGATTAATTCGAATCGAAGTTATTGGACATCTATTTCAGTGACATTCGGTCACTGGAAGCAATTATGCCAGTTCCAATAATTCCCACTAAAACATTCCAGTGAACAACACTGAATAACTAATATACTAGAGGCTGGTGTGTATGAAGCACTAATTTTAAATTTAAACAATATATGTAATTATTATAATAAATTTATTAATAATATATGTATTACAGTACCAATTATTTTATATATATTACAATTAATTATTTTATTTTTTATGCTATAATGCTTACTAGTCCTGGCCCAAACTCAATCGAATTTCCAGCTAAAATGCCAATCCTAACCTTAATTCTATTCAAATAATTCTATTCAAATAAACCACTAATTCTAACACAATCCTACCTCAAGCAATTGCACTTGGGAATATAAAACACCCAGGTACTAAATATGGATTAAATGCACTTAGAATATATAAATATTACTGTGGCACTCATATAGTGCAACTTATACCTCTACCTGATCACAGTATCTCTCTGACAGGGTTGGCACATTCATCCATTGGTACGAATGGAGAACAACTCAATTGAGGATAATTTCTAAATGGAACCAATAGAAGCCAACCAACTTCATTAACATTAATCCGTTTTCAACAGGTATATGAGGTTAGAGATTAAAACCCTATTCTTCATTGGATTCATTAGATTTTTCTATTGGAGCCATTGGTTATATTTGCTTCATTGGTAATTTCTTAATAGAGTATATTCATTGCCAACTCTGCCTCCGACTATAATACCTATATATACAGCTTAAAGTACCCCGGGTATTTTAATCCACGCTGTACGGTACTTTTTTTTAGATACCATTTGAATTATTTCATTCGTATACTTCATTCAGCTTGTAAAGGTCATGATTAGGCTGTGGAATTAAAATCAGTAAACCTGATTCATAAATCAAGAACATAAATAATTATATACTATTCGATAATACCCTTTAAATCATTTAATTCGCTTTAGTTATTTCATTTAACTCTAAACAAAAATCAGAAAAGATCAAAAATATAAACACTTATCTATTTCATTCAGCTCTAGACAAAAAGATCATTTGTTAATCATTGGAATTAAAGCCAAAAAAAGGGTATAAATAAAGAATATAAATACTTATCTATCATTTCAATACCCTTTGAATTATTTCATTCGCCTTAACATTTCATCAACTCTAGTCATTAGAATTAGATATCAGCAAAACCAGTTTACAAATCAAGAGCATAAATTCGGATTTACCATTCCATAATACGCTTCACTTGCCTTAATAATTTTATGCACTCTGGGCATAAAAATCATTTATTAGCATTAAAATTAAAATCAGCAAAAGTGATTCACAAAGCAAGAACATAAATACTTATATACCATTATATAATACCTTTCGGATCATTTCATTTGCTTTAATCATTTTTTCAACTCTAAATGCAAAAAATTGTTTGATAAGTCAGATGAGCTTATCATCATAATAAATAAATAGATAAAAAGAAAAAAAAAAAGGCATAACCGTCTTTTTATCATATAATTGTGCTGATTAGCCTAAATTTAATACCTGCAATTTGAACTCGAATCTTAGTAGGGATTACTTCAATTAATTATCATGATCTTGTGCATGATCTCAATTACTAGCAATCAACGTTGAGGGAGATATTTGAGAACATTCTCAGTTCTAAGATCTTTTTGGCTTATCAATCAAAAGCTAATTTTTCCTCTTTACTCAACATAAAAAGGATATACTACCATACTAGCATCTTCCCTAACTTTAACCATGAAAAAAGGTTATTTGTTAGCCGATGAATATCTCAAACTCCATTCACTAGACAAGTCAAACCTACTACAACTTCAATTCCAAAGTGCTAATGTTAGCTATAGCCTTAGTCTATAAGGAGCATTTTGTTAGTGAGATGTTCTTTGTTAAAATATCTGATTCTGCGCCTACTTAATGAGAAAATATATATATGAAATAAACTATTAGAGCATGAGCCAAAGAAGAAAGAAGTGGAAATTGAGATGCACTCATATCCAAGTTTGGATTTCAAAGAGGAATAAATGATTTAACCACAGCACCTACTTAACAAGAAATATTAGAAAAAAATCAAGAACAATATGAAAAAAAAACACTCAACTACACGTGTAACCCAAGACAAAATTTAAAAAAGGTTACTTGGTAGTCGTACAAGTATTTCAAAACTCCATTTACTATATAGGCAAGTCAAATTTTGCATTAAGAATGATCTATTTGAATATAGCGCCTACTTATTGGGAAAAAATATGAAAAAACTTTTAGAACATGAGACAATAAACAAGAAGAGAACGAGTATAAAAGAAAACTTAGCTATACATATATCTAAGTTAAAAATTCAAGTTAGAATGAACGAATGATAAGAATCTAAATCAAGAACACGAAAAAACCAGAATTTCAGGTTAGGAAAGAACATTCTAACAGCGGGAAATTAATGATATAAACAAGAACCAAGAAAAAAAAAATAAGAAGAAAAAAATGCGTTTAATACTAATCGATTGTATATTATGCAAACCGATTATAATCAAATTGATTATAATCGATAGGACTTGTGCTAATCGGTTGTGTATTATCAATCTGAATTCTAATCAATTATATTCAAATTGATTATAATCGATAGAGCTGAAGTTAATCGATTGTTATCAATATCGGTGGTAATCGGCAGGTGTGCTACTTATCGATTGACAAATATATCTGTCAATCGATTGTTAGCTAATTAAAAAATTTCCTAATGAAGGCTTTAATAAAATTTTTTAAAGTAGCTAACAATAAAAATTTAATATATCTTAACTAAATATTTACTATAAGCAATAATTCTACTGGAATAGCAAATATTTTAAAACTAGAATATATAGCAACTTACTATAGAAATTACAATAATTTCATTACTAACTTTATTATTTACTATAGTTACTAGAGAAGTAAAATCTGTAAAAAATTTTTTATACAATCTAATCATCAAGATCATAAAATTTTAACTAAATATTGCTATTACTAAAATAGCAAATAAAGTTTTTCTTTATTATTTTAAAACTAATAATAATATTAACTTTAACTATATAAAATCAACTTTTTTTAAGTATATGCTTTCTAAATGCAGATTATATTAAATTCTTTTTAAATGCAAGTTTTTTTTTAGTTTCAAGCCATATAAAGTTATAATAAACTTGTATTCTTTAAATGCAGTTTCTTTCTAAATGCAGAATCTTTTTTACTTAAAAAATTTTATAAATCTCAATAAGCTATATTTAGAAAGAGCCAACTATATATAGTTACTAGAACAACAAGTTTAGTAACAAAATATTTTATAATTGTATTAATTATGATAATATTAATACAGTATAGAATATGAAGAAATATCTAGTATATATTAATAAAACTTTAAAGTGTTATAACTTTTATAAAACAAGCTAAATCAAAAAGCCCTTTGACAAATTAATAGATTTTAGATAAACTAATTTTCTGTTAAAGGATTTTTTTATTCTTTGTTTTAAAAAAAGTAGTTCAAAAAATTGGTATTTAATATAAAAAAAAAAAAAACATATATAGGTTTTAGCTAATCAAAATAAATTACTCAAAAATTAGCTATTCAGAATTGATTATATAAGCACTAAAAATTGGTGTCTATATGTATAGATTGGATGTCTTTTGCTGTCCTGCACTATACAAACTAAGTTTTAACTAGTGTAACTATTATACAAATAAATAGTGTAATAGAGTTTTTATAAAAATAAAAATTAAAATAGTTCTAATATCAATTAATTTGACTTAAATTGCATAATATATATAATATAATAGTTATTAAACTTTATATAAGATAGATAGTATAAAGCACTATTTAATATATTAGTACTAATATATTTTTATTTAATAATACTATATAAGAAGACAAGCTATTATATAGAAAATATATCATACAAACCAACAACTCTCTCCACTAATCATTTGTACCAAATTTGACAAAAGAAAAATTAGCTACAAAACATTTTTAGGTATAGGAAACAACACAAAATAGTTTAAGCAAAAAGGAAAGACACCTAAAAATACATATACTTTGTTAAAACAACAACAAAGTTTTCAATACAAGCATTAAAACTTTCTTCGGTTGAAGACATTTTTTTATAAAAAATACTTTGAAAAATTTTTTTTGTTTTTTTTGGGAATACATCTAGATCCTGAATTGCAAATCACTTTAAGACACGTAATCAAACAAACAACACGCGTACAAACAAATAAACAATTTAACACATATTTACTTATAACAAAACAAGCTTATATTCTAGAAATTTCGAAAAGACAATTACACAACATACGCATAGCAAAGTTATATTATACAAATATTAAACACAAAGATTTAACCTAATTAAAGATTTTGCTTTGGCATCAC